TTTTTTTTTTTTTTCGGCCGGGACCTTCCCTACCTTGCACGGCCGGGCCACCCGGGAAAATAGGGTGACCCGGGCGACCCGGCTGGTAGCCTAGCATCAGATACATTTAGGTGCGTGCTAGTGTGAGTATGCCCTGTTATTCGCGATCCTGTTTGCCGTACTACTCAGTCTATCCTTCTTCTTGTCTTCTCTCTCCATCACTCGTCAAATGTGAAAGAGAGAACAAAAAGTGAAACTGCTGAGAGTATCTTTCACCGTTCTAGCTGAAGATACACTTGCCAATCACACATTTCACAAGGAGTGCAACACGAAAGTCCCCACCTATAGTAACTACTGCATCTTGCCCCAAACTCACGACACCATATTCAATTAACAACTTAACAATGAATACTTTGATATTAAAAAAAAAAAAAAAAAAGGGACACAAAAAACGAAAAAAAGGGACACAAACACCAAAAAAGGGACACGATTCAGCTGATATCACTACCTGGGGAAAAAAAAAAAAAAACCCAGTACCTTGACAAAAGTGGACAGATGCAGTGGATAAAATTGACTGCATGGCACATGCAGGACTTGCATGATGACTTATTTTTTTTCTGGGGGAGGGGGGGGAGGGGGAGCAGAGGAGGGGGGGTGTAAACCGAAGGCATATATATCGTCAAACAGAGCTGCCCAGTAAACTGCAGGCAGAGAGGGAGAAGAGGACAACAAATGAGGGGCTGTGACAAACTGTTTCGTCGGAATTTCACCGACTTATCAGGAGGCTGAACCCTATAAATATATATATCGTCAAACAGAGCTGCACACACACACATGGCCGGGCAAGCGGTCCTGGGCTACTCTGGTAGCCTGGTAATATATATATTTGCGACCATCAACATAGACCAGATTAAAAACATCATTTGACCCAATTAGCCTACCTGAGTGGGTACCCCCATGAACCGTTGGAAATACAGACCTGTGTTCGAATCCAGATGATGAAACGTGATGAGTAAAGTTGTAAGACCAACTATTTCTGAATTGCCTGGGGCCGGTCAGCCGGTCAGCTTAATGATGATATCTCAAGGCCGTCACCCTTTCAAAAAACAAAAAAAAAAACATCATGATTTAATAAAAAGAGAACATCAAAGGTCTCGTTGAACACTTCCAGAAAACTTCTACTAGTTGAATTGCCGCGGGTGCATCCGTGTGGTGATTGTGTGGTGTGTGTAGAGTTTGGACACTACAGCCTTGGAGGGGTGGGGTGGGTGTTGTGTGTGGTGTGTGTTGAAATGGACACTACAGCCTTGCAGGGGTAGGGTGGATATCACGACCGGTATGATTCCACTTTTGAACACTGTGTCCTGGCTGTAGTGGTTAAGAGACTTGGCTCTTGAGGCAGAGGTCGCCTGTTCGAATCTGTGCATGCGCAGAGGACTCAGGAGGGCTTACGCCCAGACGTACGGAATCCATTCTACTGATCAGGAAAGTCCATACTACTGATCAGGAAAGTCCGTCTAGGACCATCCTAGAGTACAAAGATTTTTTTCCTAATATATCGAAGGAGATCCCAAAATACTCAATACAGGAAGAAGGGTGGAAGGGCTGTCTCTTATACACATCTAGATGTGTATAAGAGACAGAAGCGGAAGTGTGGACAGAGATTGGCAAATGCTGTTCACACCCAGTGTCGAGGAGGGAGGGGGGGGAGGGTGTGAATCTAGGTTGAAGGGTCGATTAAGGCTGCAGGTTATTTTGTGCAAAGGCGGGGAGAGGAAGGGGGATTGCACACTGAGACTTGAGCGTGCAGAATACTGCGACCGGCAAGAGGAACAGGAGGTAACGGGTTACTCATATCTCTCTTCTGCGTTCTTCTGTGGCCAATTCCCCCTCCGTTTGCCGCAAGGGCACAGAAGAACGCAGAAGAGTGTGCGAGAGAGAGAGAGAGAGAGAGAGAGAGAGAGAGAGAGAGAGAGAGAGAGAGAGAGAGAGAGAGAGAGAGAGAGAGAGAATGATGCTATTGGGAAAATCTTGAAGGGTGAAAGGGAAAATTCCAAAAATTCCATTTTGGAATTTTGGAATATTCCACCCCATCCCACCACCTTGTTTTTTGTTTTCTTAAACCACCAGTACTTGGCCCAGCTATCGCGGCTGTGGGAAAAAATAGATTAGAAACGTTTCCAGTCGGATGAATTTGGGCGCTCCCGTAGTGGCCTGTACGTTTCCTATAATTGTGGCTTGTTAATGGGCACAACTTTAGGAAGTACTGGTGGCTTAACTCAAGCATGCAAAAGCACTCGACGAATTAGGAAGAGATGTAACAAACACGCGCATATTGGAGAGTCAAGCGCGTAAGGAATTTCTCACACTACTGGCTTTCATGGATGTATTTATTGCCCAGTCGGGCTACATTCAGACCTGAAAAGGCCCAGTGCAAGTATGCCTTTCGCGCAGAGAGATGTTCGATGAAGTCTAGCGCCGCGATTTCTCGAAATGAGGGTGTTAGCCTTCGGCCCCTTGTTTTTAAAGACGCTCATAAGTCGAGCTAAAGGCTCCCATGGGACGGCTTTTCTCAAGTTTCTTATCGCCGCCTCCTCCAGTCTCTCCCACTCCAAGTAAATCCTGATTTTTTATTTTATTTAATTTTTTCCAATTTTTTTTTCCTCTTTTTTCTCCCACTCCCAAGTTTATCTTACAAGGCCAAATTCCTCACACTAACCTCTTTCGCACCATCCACCTACCTCTCACCTACCTCTCACCTACCTCTCACCTAACCTACCTCTCACCTACCTCTCACCATTTCTCCCAGAATGAGGAGCAAAGACAGGTTCACCGCAGTGCGAACCCACATATCCCATGGTCCGCATCTTGCAACAAAACCACACTGTTGTGTCAGCTCAGTCAAAGACTGGTCAGCGACAACCTGACCTGTGCCATGTCCACCATAGCCATGTCCAAAGCACTCGTCGTTTCCGCCCTAGCCATGTCCACCGCAGGCTGAGTGTCCACCATAGCCAAGTCCACCGCAGGCTGTGTTTCAGCCATAGCCATGTCCAGAAAAGCAAACCAGGTTTCTTCCATAGCCATGTTCGAAGCAAACTTAAGTGAGTTTCTCACGTAGCCGCATGCCTTGGGAGCGCAAAGGTCCCAATATGGCGTGTTGCACCTTGCAAGGCAACTTGACAAACCTGATGTCTCTTTTTTTTTTTTTTTTTTTTTTTTTTTTTTTTTTTTTTTTTTTTTTAATGAGACGATGCTGCAATCTATTCGTGGGGAGCAACCGCAGTCACATTGTGGATCTGATCACTCAAAGAACGAGTAGAATTGGTAGGCAACAACGCGACCTGTTTACCCAAACCCAAAAATTGTGGGTCCGAAGCGATCTGATCTTGCACCATAGCCCGACACCAAGCAGTCCAAGTTTCCGCCATAGCCATGCCCAAAAAAGCAAACTAGTTTTCTGCCATAGCCACGTCCAAAGCACTCTCAGTCTCTTCCATAGCCGTGTGCATAGTGAGTCTAGCCACCAAAGCAAAGCTTCCAGCATAGCGTGCTGCAAGGCGACAGGACAGACCTGATGTCTCCCCCCTAGCCACCCCGTTGCCCGATCAGTCAGAGAATGGATGGTCGCCAACGACACGACCCTGTGGTGCGAAGGGATCTGGTCTCCCGCCATGGCCAGGCGCATAGCAACCAGACCTTCTACCGTAGCTACAAGTGCGTGCGAATGTGACCAACCTGTCGTCTACCTGTCACCGTACCTGGTTCACAATGAAACCAGTCGAACGCGGCCTGTTCAGCAAACCGACGTGCAACGAGACCTGATCTCCAGCCATAGCCAGCTGCGCAGCAGCCAGACCTTCCGCCATAGCTAGTTGCATGCGAATGTGACAAACCTCCATGTTTGTCTCTCCATGGCCCCACCTAATGCAGAACAAAACCGGTCCAGGCACAATATTCTCCTCCCCCCCTCATAGCCACACCTCGTGCACAACGGAACCAGTGGAAAGCGACCTGATGTATAACCAAACCCACGTGCAAAGCGACCTGATGTCCGGCCATAGCCAGGTGCGTACCGGCCACTCCTTCCGCCATAGCTAGTTGCATGCGAATGTGGCAAGTCTGATGCGTCCCCATGGCCACACCTAGTGCACAACAAAATCGGTTCAAGCACAAGATTTCCTCCCGTCCCCCCCCCCCTCCCCCTCCGCCCACCACCACACACACACACACACGCACCTTCTGTAGCGTTTCAAGTATTGCAACGCCCAGCGCCATCTGGTAGTAGTTCACGCTCGATGACCAAGGAGGCTGTGGAGGCGAAGGTCCACGTATATTTGTCGATGGCCATATATGTCCTCACGTCTAAATGATAGACTGTTCAAACTTCAAACTTGCAAGTTGCAACAAAATACAAAAAAAAAAAAAAAAAAAAAAAAAAAAAAAAAAAAAAAAAAAAAAAAAAAAAAAAAAAAAAAAAAAAAAAAAAAAAGCACATGCCCTACTACAGCAGCCTTTAAAACACGCCGATCAGCAGGACATACCAAAAAATATGCGGGGAAAAAAAAAAAAAGGCTAAAAAGCACAAAAAAATCTACCAGTCGGAAACAGTGCATTGAGCATGGCCACAACAACCCGCACTGTACAATCTTAGAAAGTGTTTCGTACTGTAGACGCCAGATCTGGAGAACGAGGGGGGAGGGAGAAGAGGGTGGGGGGAAGGGTGCAAAGGGTACAAATGAAAAATGAAGACAGCAAAAGAGGGCTACCTACCCTTACAATCAGGATTACAAAACAGAAAAATGCCGGGCTGTCGTCAACACAGAGAAGGGTGGTTTAAGAAATGATGATGATGACATTGCGGCACACTGCAAGATTTAAACGGAACGGAATTTCCTTTGACTCGACTGAAGTAGACAATGCACCCACTAACGACTCTCGTTTCTCCCTCCACCTCGATGCTTCTGTTCGTTAGTACAGCATTGAGCCCCCTCCTCTCCCCTCCCCC